CGCCCCATAGCACTTAAAGCACTCTCTGGTAAGTTTTCAAGTTAATTATGTAGGCGACACATTGCCCCCCAGCAAGCTGGGTACTCATTTCATCAGCCTCAGAAGGATGGAAGGCTGAGTGAACCTTGAGCCAGAAACCTGGGATTAAACCCAGGTCAGGAGTAGAGTTTTGGCTGCAGTACTGCAGTTTAGCCTTTTGTTTCTGTTAGTGAAGTTTTCTTGGCAAAGATACTGGAGTGGCTTGCCCGTTCCTGCTCCAGGCGGATCACGTTTAGTCAGAACTCTCCACTATGCCCTGTCCGTCTTGGGTGTCCCTATATGGCATAGCCCATAGCTTCTCTGAATTACTCAAGCCCCTTCGCCATGACAAGGCAGCCATCCGTGAAGGGGAAGGACAGATCCTGAAGCTGAGGCTCCAATACTTTGGCCATCTCATGAGAAGACTCCCTGGAAAAGACCCTGATGCTGGGAAAGTGTGAAGGCAAGAGGAGAAGGGGACGACAGAGGACGAGATGGATGGACAGTGTCATCGAAGCGACCAATATGAATTTGATCAAACTCTAGGAGGCAGTGGAAGACAGGAGGGCCTGGTGTGCTCTGGTCCATGGGGTCACGAAGAGTCAGACACGACTTAGCGACTAAACAACAACACTGCAGTTTTAACCTCTGCACCACAAGGATCCTGGATTGGGGGGGGGCAAGGCATTAAAGACCACCAAACTTTCTGACAGTTCTTAGTGTATATTTATAGTGGCAGTGGAGTTGGAGCATCTGATCTGGCACTTCTGTGGCCTCATCCGGAGCCAAGACTGACTTGCAATGGGGCTGTCTTTTGAGCTTTGATTCAACAACTGGGGATTGTCTTTAAACAGAAAGCTGAGTCTGGGATGTTGGAGGCATCTCTCTGGCACTATTTTACAGCTGCAGGAGTTGTCGCTTTTGCTCGGGGGAGGAGAGAAAGCCACAACTCCTTTAAAGGCCCGAGCTGCCTCTGGAGAAGGGAGAGCCCACTTTATTCCACCTAATTAGTGCACCAGCTTAATTGCAGACACGCCACTGACAGCAGGTGAGAGATGAGATCAAACATTAACTGTGAAATTCGAACCAGCAGGTGAGGCATGAAACCTCTCAGCATTTAGCGGGGAATAAAATGAAAATAAAATAAAATTTATTGTAAGACGTCAAAACTCAAAACAGCCTCTAATGAGCAGGAAAACAGCAAGACAGACACTCTAGGTAATAATCAGCTCCAACGTACCACTTGTAATGATGGCTTGACGGAACTTGCCAGCGGGTGATACGGGTGCCTGATCAGGGGAAAGGGGAATGGGGGGCACCCCACAAGTGTAGGATCAGGTGTGCGAGCCAATACCAGCAATGCAGCTTTTGTGGGGTAGTGGGGTGCGTGCAGCTTTGCACCCTCACTTTGGCCAGCCTATGCGAAGCAGGGGTGTAGTGGAACCAGAGCTGAGGGGGTTGAAGTTCCAGGACTTTCTTATTAGCAACAACATGGGCATCATCTGCCAGTCCCTCCCTCAGTCTTCCCTGTTCCCTCTGATCTGATCTGCAATGCCTGCAGGAGCTGGGGGAGACATGAATTTTCCTATCATTTGGACACTGTTGCAAAGTATTCCTGTTCTAATGCAAAGTGTTTGTTGCAGATCTTGAATGGACAATTCAGGGCCATTCATTCTACAAAAGACCTGCTCCTGGGGGAAATACCCATCGGCTGATATGGATCGCTTCTGCTGCCTGTGTTTTGGACTCTCCATGGAGGTGTTGGCTACGGGGACAATTTAGCTGAGCACCTGCACTTCCAAATTCACCATGACACCACGCAAAAGCAAAGCAGGCCCCCAGAGTCTAACCTTTCTGAAAACTTGTGGAAAGCATGTGTCTTCCACAGACTGCATGGTGCATGGATTTCCTAGGCAACGGTGCCCAGATCTGCTTGCAGGGGCCAGCTGGGGCTCGCCTGGCCACGGCAGGTGAAACGTCCCATTCTCCACCAGGGAAGAGAGACGCCTTAACTCCCACACCCCCAGGGCATGCAAGAAGGGCCCAAGAGGCAAGGGCTGCCCCCCCCGCCTGCCACCCTAAAGCTATGTACACAGGCTCTGTCTCCCGCCTCCATGGGGAAAGCGGCCCCCACCACGGGCTCCGCTAATGTCCCCCCAGGCAGCAATTGGGATAATTATCCTTTGCTAGAAGGAAGTTGTAAATGCGACTGAACAGAGTAGCTTTTAATTATGTCAATTAAAATACAGCCTATTGTGATGCCAGGAACGTTGCTGGCTCCGGATGGCTCTGCTCTGTTGGTTTTGGGGACTGGCGCTGAGACAGAGGGGCTCGGAAAGGCGGCTGCCAAGCCCATGAGCAAAGAGGGCCCCTCCGCTCCCCTTGGCTGGAGGTTCCCAAGCACACTTGCCTGCAAGCCAAGCCGGCTGGAAGGAAAGGGGGCTCCTTTCTGGAGAGAGGCCGTGGGCTCCTGCTATGCCTTCTGCCCGGCCCAATGAATTTCAGAAAACAAACCCGGGGAAGACCTGGCTTCCCCTCCTGTTCAACAGCCGCACTGAGACGCTTTATGGTCCATGGTAATGGCACCGGGGATGTCTCCCTCTTGCCTCGTTTCCAGGCCAGGCTTGCTCTCCCGAGGACCAGGATGACACAGCGCAACCCCTTTGCCGGCTGAGCTCATTCCATTTCCTAAGCAGCTCTACTAGAGAGAAAGCTTTGAACAGGCAGGCATGATCTGGCGGCCTTCAGAGGAAGCCTCTTCATGGTGGAAGGGGGCTGGCTGGTCACTAAGGAGCTCAGGGCCCCCTTCACTTCTTGGAAGGCTATGCGAGGAGGCAGGTGGAGAGAGGGCTGGGGACTGGCGCAAGGAGCAGGCCCCGCAGGTGGCAGCCGGAGGAGTAGATTTTGCTGGGTCTCCTGGAGGGAGTCCCTCAACCCGCCCATGACCTGCTCCGACAGCCCACAAAACCGCTGAGCCCGGTGGATGGAGAGACCAGCGAACATGGCTTTTGAAATGGGACAGCAACAACTGGTGTCGTGGCCTTCGGCAGGAAGAGAGTTTTCCCCACAGAATCCAGCATTTCCCCCCCCCTTTCCCTTCTCCCCAGAAGCTTCCCAGACACACATCCAGAGACCGTCCACCTCACAAGAGTTTGTTAATACAAAATCAATTGTTGTGAATTATTCACCACATGTTAATTAAAGATGCATGAGCGTTATCTTAGCATAGCAAAAATGAGAGGGGGGGAAGATTGAGAGAAAGCAGGGTGGTCCTAGCCCCCCCCCCTCGTGTGGCTGTGTGGTATCTCAGGCAGCCAAGCAGGGGTGCTAACCTGAGGCCAGGAGGGGAAATGATTTGGGAAGAGGTCAGGAGACTCCCCAGGTTAGCCACAAGGTGTGTTTGTGGGCAGACGTGATTGCCAGGATACTTCGGGGAGATTGTTTCTTTGCTGAGAATAGGCAGAGGATGATGATGATGATGATGATGTGGGATCATATAGAGCCACCCTCCCCTTGTCTCTCTGGTGAGGAATGGACTGGGGGAGGGTGTCTTTAGCAAAGGAGCATGAAAACCACCACCTTCCTTCCGATGTAGAAAGGCTAACATTAAAACCAAGCAAGCGAACAAACAGACGGAAAAAGGGGCTGGACGCACGAGGAGACCAGTGTTTACACCAAACAAATCAAAATCACACTGGCTGGCCCTGCTGTGAGGGAGAGGGAGGCAGTGGTCACTCAAGTACCCATGGTGCTGCTTTAGCATCCTGATGGCAGAACAGTCCCCTTCAAGAAGGACGCCATCTGAAACTGTGGGAGCCCTGGAAGGAGCCTTCCGTTCGGCATCTCGAGGTTTTGCCCGTCCATTTTCTCCCGAGCGCCTGGCTCCTTTCCATGTGGCGGGGAGCGAGCAGGCCTTAAAAGCCACCCTGCCCGCCTCGCCCTCTGCTTTAAGCTAACTGGGTACCCAAAATGGCAGGAGAAGACAACTAGGAATGGAGCGAGATCGGGAGGCACCCTGACTTTCCTGAATGTGGAGGGATTCCCCCACGCCTGCCCCCCCCCGGGGCCATCTGGCTGGCCAGCCCCTGCCTGGATGGGCCAGATGGTGCTCTTGCCCAGCACCAGGGTTCACCTCGTCTTTCAGAGGGCGTGCCGCCAACGAGGGCAGCTTCCGGTTTCACCTGCTCACGGACCTCTCCCTAAGGAAGAGAGAGACACATGGAACTGAGACCTGCTTTCCTTTTCCCTCAGGCCAGGAACATACTCTCTCTCCTGCTCTGGCTGCCGACGCTTCGGGCGCCTTCTTCAACGTATTATATTAAGCTTTGCACGGAGCCTGTGACCCACATCGGAGACTCCAAAGCGGGGCTTTTTTGCAACTCAGGTAAAAGCACCACCGGAATGCAAATGGCCTGGCCCTGCACTGCCAGATTCAGAGCCCAGGAGAGACTCTCTCGCACACACACACACAAACACACTTTTTGCACCCTGGACACTGTGTCTGGTCACACTCTGTGGACGAGAGGCCTCCAGAAAAAGCCCTGGTTCAACAGCCACAAAATCCTCCCGCAAAGCTTCCAGAGGTCTGCTCCGCAGGGATGATGTTTCAACTCACCCTTGAGCCCTTATCAAAGACGGGTCGGGCGTCAACCCCCGTTCTAGGCTCAAGAGGGAAGGCAGGGTGGCGCGTGCCCCTCTCGTCGCTGGTCCCGGCTCCCTCTGCCAGGGCTGTGATCTCTCTAGGGACCCATCTCCACACGCCGCGTTTGCAGCCAGAGATTTATCTCAGCCCCTCTGTAAATCTGCCAGCTGCAACACCGTGTAGCCGTGAGTTATGCACCTGCCCTTAATCTCCGCCACAATCCGTTATCTTTAATGGCACACACACACACACACACACACACACACACACACCCCTCAGAAAGCCCCACCTCCAGCGAGGGCTCCTCCTTAACCACAAAGAGGACAAAATTAAATGCCTGGAAAGAGGTTTATTACAGTGGTAAGACTTGAGATCTTGAGAAGGAGTTGCTGTTGCTGCTGCGCCGCTCACAGACTCCCCCAAGGTGAGGCTGATCTAAAACCAGCCTGGAGGTGCAGGAGGGGTGTGTGTGTGTGTGTGTGAGGCAGGGGAGGGGTGGGGGAGCCTCGGCATCCCACTCCATCTTCAGGAAAGCTCAACCCCTTTGGGGCTTCATCGCTCCCCAAAGAGATCCAAACCGCTCCTTTTTGCTCACGCAGGGGCAGAGCCCAAATGAAGGCCCCTGCCTTCCCAGAACAGAGACAGCAGAGTGTGTGCGTGTGTGTGTGTGTGTGTTTGTGTGTCTGCCTGTCTCTCTCTGTCAGCCTTGACTCTCCCGGAGAGCCAGGAAGGAAGCTGGCCCCGGGTTGGATGGGGCAAGGCTGCCCCTCGGTGGCAAAGAACGGCCAGCGCTGACAAGAGAAGGAGCCGCCTTCTGAACACCTGCTTTTCCACTGACAGCTCAGGTCCCCTTCTTCTTTATGCCAGCAGAAGACGGGAGTCTCTATCCCAGCTGAAGGAAGGGGAGGCTTTAAGGCAGCTCTCCGGGGGGGGCGGTGTGTGGGGTGCCGTGGGGAGAACGGCAGGGCCAGCTGAACAGCAGCTACCGCTCGACGTCTTCTGCTCCCCCGAGTGGGAGAAACGCGGGGCCAGGCCCTTCGTCCTGGCTTCACACACCGGCGGGGCGGCAGGGAGAGGCGCCCACAGGCACCACCGCTCTCAAGTGGGTGCCTGGTGCTGCCTTCGGTGCCGCAGGATCTCCGTGGGCGTGAGCAAGAGGCTCCGCTGGCAGACGGCACAGGGGTAGAGCTGCTGCAGGGCCGAGGAGGCCCCCAAAGAGGGGGTGCCTGCTGCATCCTCCGAAGGGTCTGGGGGCACAAGGAAAGCCGGGTGAGAAGTCCCCACATGCACAGGGGTGTGTACACAGACAAACACGGGCGAGGCCCACAGGCTCCCTGCACCCGATGGGTGGAAGGCACGGCAGCCAGGGGTAGTGGGCACAGCTGGGACTAAGAACGATTTAGCAGGCAGGCAGGCAGGCATGAACTGGCCTCTGCACAGATCGGAGCCCCCGAGGCCCAGCGGCTTTGTCAGGCCCGAGACATCCAGCCCGTCAGGAAACACCTCCCACGGCAGGACATTCCCGGCCACCCCTTCTGGCTGCTTGCTCCCCCTCGGGAGGGACTCACCTTCCCCTGGCGGGGGCTCCTCCCCCTCGGAACCAGGAGCCCGGCAGGCGTCCTCGTGGGCCATGCGCTCCAGAGGCGTGAAGGGCCGGTAGAGGCCACACCGCGGGCAGGTCCAGAAGCTGCGCAAGCACTCGCTGTAGAGGTCCCCCTCGCTCTGCGGGAGACACCGAGGAGGAAAGGCCAGCGCTCCTCAGGGAGGGAGGGAGGGAGAGGGGGGCTCTGACCCACCACTCGGGGCCCCATTTCATTCCTCCTCCTCCCCTCCCTGGCCAAGGCTGTCCAGCCCCTTCCCCAGCCCCCCCCAAACCCCTCACTCACGGCCAGGCAGTTGAAGGTCAGGCAGTCGCCCACCCGGTAGCCTCCCTTGACCTCGTCGGGGGTCATCTCAGCTCCCTGGAAGAAGTGGGGCAGCCCCTCTCCGTCTGGGGCCGAGGCCAGGGTCTGAGGACCCACGTACAGGTTCTGCTGCTCCAAGGGTGTGAGACGCCGGAGGCGGTACGGCACCTGAGCAAATCCACCGGGAGGGTCAGGCTGGCCGGGGTGGCCCTCTCGGAGATTCCTCCAGAGACCTCCCCTGCTTCCGAGGCTGGTTAGAAAGCAGCTCCTCGGGCTGGCAAAGAGGGGCCCCTGCCACGGAGCTTTGCCCACCCCTCTGCCCCCCTGCCCATCACCCGAGGGCCAGGCAGGGCCAGCGCACCCACCTCGGTCTTCAGGAAAGTCAGCAGTTCCTGGGAGAGCCTCCCCACCTCTCGAGCACTGGGCCGCCTCTCCTCCAGGTCCTCCTCCAGGTCCTCCTCGCTCCTCCTCCTCCTCCTCCTCCGGCCGCCTCGCCTCTCCAGTTGCCGGTCCAGCAGCTTCTCCCAGGAGGCCCGGAGGCGCAGGGCCGTCCAGAGCTGGCGCAGGGCCACCTCGCCCGCCGGCACCAGCAGCTCCAGCCACGAGTCCGCCACGATGCGCTTGCCGTCGGCGTTGGTGTCCAGAGAGCGCGCCAAGAGCAGCAGAGCCTGCCCGGGGGGGGGAGGAGAGAGAGGCAAGCAGGAAGCTGGGCCTGCTCCAACGTTGCCCCCCCCGAGGGAGAGGGGGAAAAGGTTGCCGGGTGGGGAGGGCAGAAGGCAGAAGGGGAGCCCCTCACCTGCAGGGCCGGGAGGCGGAGGCAGTTCACCAAGTACGGCTTGTTGGTCTCCAGGAGCGAGACGAAGGTGAGGATCCGGTGGCGGCTGCTCAGCCCCTCTTGCTCGGTCCCTGGGAATCAAGAAGGGCCACCTCCTGAGGCTCTCCTCTGAAACTCACTCAAAGCCCCTGCAGCGGGCAGGTAGGCAGGTCAGCCCTTCTTGTCCCTGGGGCCAACAGGGCAGGATCTGGCCGGCTGCAATGCCCGTTTGCTCACCCTCTGAGGACCGAGCCATTCAAGAGGGTTTTTAAAAAGCCAGAGGCCGACCCTGGGTGGGCCACCGCCTCTGCTCAAGTGGTGGCCCAAACGGGTCCAGCTTCTCCCCTCGGCTACTTGCCCCCCACCTGACCCCCTTTCATCTGATCCCTGAATCAGATTCCCCGAGTTGATCCCTGGCTGCAGTCAATGCCTGCCCCAAAGCCCCCTTGGAAATGCAAGCCCATGAGAAAGAAATGAAGGCACAGAGATGAGCTTCATAACTATACAAAACAGGTCACTTTGGGGGTGTGTGTGTGGTAAGCTACACATAAAATACGGGAAGGCAACCAACAAATGCAGGGGTGGCTACACACACACACACACACACACACCCCCTGTTCCCCACAAGCCAACCAACAAATGCAGGGGTGGCTATACACACACACACACACACACACACACTCACACACACACCTCTGCTCCCAAAATGTCACATCTGGATTTGTTTATTCCCAGTTACGAACTGAACCCCCAAACCAATCCCAATGACACACAGGTAGAGTGCCCAGTCTGCGGAGAATTAGGTTTGTGCAGATTCATAATTTGGGGCCGCACCTCCCAGAACTGGACTGCAATTCCCAAAAATTCTCTAATCATTCCCTAGGCAGGATTTGGGGTGTTGCAATCTAAGAACACAACCCTGCACAGCTCTGCTCTGAATGCAAATGCATGCTAGCAGAAGGGGAGCGTGTGTGGGCGCAAGGGTGCTTTTGTTGCAGGCGCCATTTCCCCGCCCACCCGTTCTCCCCGTGCATGCGTGCAGGAAGGGAGAAGATGGCAGCGGCAGATCCAGTAGGGCCAAACACGGACGCAGATGCTGAGTCAAGGTGTGCATATCTGTTGTTCTGGACCACAGCCTCCCAAAATTCTCCCTGGAGCCAAATCGAGGGAAGCCCCCTTCCCCTGAGCAGTAGGCGTTGCCCATCCCAAGGGAGCCAGGCCCTTCTGCTCACCCCTGGTCCCTTGAGAGTCAGAGCCTCCGTCCTGGCTTGGCTGCAGCAGCTCAGGAGAACTGGTGAAGACGCTGGTGGGGTGGAGGACCACCCCGGGCTTCTCTTTGGTGTGGAAGATCTAGGGAGCAAGGCGGAACAGGGCGACTGCTCAGGGTTGGGCGGTGAAGCAGGGTGAGATCCAGTCAAAGTACATTTAAGGCGTTAAGACCCCAACCCACCCAGTCACTGGATAACTGGCCTCCGGCCACCCCTTCCTGTGTCCATCGGCCCACAGGGAGTGACCCGGAATTTGACAGAGGAGCCGGAACCAGAGCTGGAGGGAAGCAAGAGGGTCGTGGTGGAGGGGAAACAACAAGGGACTGGGAACATTTGTCCCACTTGCCTGGTCCGAGTCCTTGCGGCTCTGGTTGAAGGCGTCTGGGACCGCCAGCTGCGGGTAGAGGCCACGGCCCAGCACCAGCTGCAGGAGGGAGCGCTGACCGGGAGAAAGGGACTGGGCGGCGGAAGAGGCCGCCCGCAGCTCTTCCACGTTGTGCCGCAGTTGGAATTTGATGTCCTGGAGGAGTAAAAAATCAGCAGGAGAGGAATTGGGTGCGAGGAAAAGGGGGAAGAGAGCAGACGACGCACGGACGCCCTAACGGCAAGAAGGGGCAGAGAGAGGGCAAAGGTAGAGACGCACGCGCACGCGGAGAGCGCCTGAGCAATGACAGCCCAAAGGCAGGATCCGATCAGGGCACCCCCTGGGATCTGATTCTGCGCCATCCTGACCATGTTCCCCACAGCCTCTGAGGCCGGAGATGACAACAGAGTTGCCTTGATGAGCAGCTGCTGGTGATCCTAACCTTGATCCATTCCCGAAAGCACCTCTTTAAAGCCATATAATTTGGGAGACCATCGTACATCTTGTGTCGCTGAGTTCCATAGCTTAACTCTTATGTTTCTGCCCTGCACCATCCAACGTGTGGCTTCAGTGGATGATCCTAGACTGTAACAACACCCACCCACCCCCCAAATGTGGAGTTGTTGGTAAACTTGGCCACTTCACTGGTCATCCCTAAAGCCAGATAGGTTTGGAACCATTTAAAAAACAAAAAAACCACAGATCCTTGGGGAAACAGACCTTCTTCACAGACTTTCTTTGCAAGAATCGATCGGATGATTCTGCCTTTTTCCTTCCTGCTCTTCTTGAGCTAAAAGGAGAGGCTCTTTTCTTCTCATGGGCTCATAACGTCTACTTACCAAAAGCCTTTTGGAAAATCCAAATCAATGCACATCGTTCAAAGTCTCTGCTTCCTGCCCGCCTTGCTGACACACCCAAAGTATGTGAACTATTAGTGGCGCAGGACTCTGATCCACACAGACACACACACAGACACCCTTCGGGCTGCCCCCTGGGGGGCTCACCTGGAAGTCCAAGCGATGATGCTTTCCGTCCCCTTCGTCTCCCGAGGAAGAAGAGCCAGCCTCGTCCTCCTCCCCCTGCACCCGCAGCACTTTCCGCCGCCGCCCTTCCCCCTCCTCGTGCTCCCGCTTCAGCCTGTGGAGCTCCTGGCGCCGACGGCGCTGACTCTGCCGGGCGTAGGAATCGCTGGGCTGGGCAGCCGGCTCCAGCAGCCGATGGTCTCGGAGGAGCTCCTAAAGAAGACGGGTAAGGACAGAGAAGCGCAGGGGGTCAGCCGGCACCAGCCCGACCCTCCTCCCACGGCGCTGCTCCTCACTCTGTCTCACAGCTTTCTGCCCAGGCCAGCTCACCTGGAGGGGCAGGTCCCGCTGCAGTTCGTGGGCACAAACCTGTTTCTGTTTCTTGGCACTGCCACCTGCCTTGGCAGGGTTCGCACTCAGCCCCCCGTCCTGCTCTCGCTCCCCCCCCCGAAGTCCCCACCTGCTCCCAGATTCCATCGCACCTGGAACTGGCGCCGCAGGTTGGCCGCTTCGTACAGCCGGTGCTCCTCCAGGCCACGACGCCGGCACCAGCGGCGGGATCCCCCCCGGTTTCCAGACTTCTCCTGTCAGAAGGGAAGGCAGGGCGACACTATCAGCACAAACGCACACAACAGAGACAGAGCAAGCAGGGTGCCCCATCACGCTCAGAAGCTCACCCCCCAACATCCCCGCCTTGTCATGCAGCCTCTGGCCCATTTCTGGGCATGGCGTGCAGACAAGTGGGCACCCCCCAACCTGGCTGCTCATTCCAGGTACCAGCTGCCCTTCTCCTCCAACCTGCTGAAGGCCATCAAGGATGTCCAGCAAAGCCACCCTTTCGTCCTGGAAGGGGCAGGCGTGGGCAGGAGCAGAAGAGAGAGATGAGCAAGGAACTCCATACCTGTTTCATTCCAAAGCCAGTGGCTTTCTAACATTATTTTGGGGAAAGGCAGAAGAGCAGGAGGAGGAGAAAACCCACAGGCTGGGGGCAAGATGCAGGGCAGCATCCAAGACCATTCCCGCCCCCTTTCCTCACCCACCCACCTACCCACCTACCTGCACCCAGGCGTCAAAGACATTGAGCAGCGTCAGAGGGTCTCCCAGGGGGCTCTCCAAGGGGCGGCGAGCGGTGGCGCAGTCGGGATCGCCGCGCCCAGAGCTGCTGCGCAGGAAAGGCGAGGGGACGCTGAGCATGGCAGCCACTGTCAGGGTGGGGCCAGCCAGGCCAAACAAAGTCCCCAGCACCAGCATCTTCCCTGCAAGGAAAGGACAGGACCCGTCAGGATGGGGAGGTGGTGGTGAAGCCAGCCTGGGAAAGCACCTGATACCCCACCTGGGGCTTTCCACTTGGTTTCACCCTAACCCTCTCCCACCCCTGCTGGGCACCACCTTTCCTGCACTGAGAGTGTCGGCTGAATTGAATCAAACGGCAAGAGGACAGCACTCGACTCATGCTCAGAGGCACCCTGGCGTGCAGCTGGCAACACCATGGCACAAAGAAGAGAGCAAAGCTGGAGAGACGGGGACTCTGCCCCCGGCCGCTCTGCCAAGCCCGGACCCATCACCAAAGGCCCTGCGAAGACCAGCGCCAGCCTCCGGGGCTCACCAATCACCACATCCACGGGCAGCTCGGCCAGGAGGCTCCCGATGGGCGTCAGGTTCTCCGCCGCGTCCAGCGCACCCTGGTGCTTGAGGTAGCCCACGGCGGTCTCCAGGCTGGCCGGCGGAGGCGGCTCGAGGAAGGGGAAGGCGCGAGGGTCCCCCAGCCCCATGCTCTTCATCTAGAGAAAGACAAGAGGGTGGTGGGCGTCACCTTTTTGCCAATGCTTCGGAAAAACACTTTCTCCCCCCAACACCTGTCCTTCACACACCTGGGCTATGCCTTATTTGCACCCACCTGGCCTTTCAAGAACACTACCACCACCCTGCTGTGCCTTGCTCTGCACACACACACACACACACATACACCACCACCACCCCGCTGCGCCTTGCTCTGCACACACACACATACACGCAGCATTGCATCACTGAAGTTCTGGGGAGATTCCTTCCCCCTCCAGCAGCCGGGGGAGGGAGTGTCGCTGGCCTCTTGCAGCACCCAAAGGAAAGAGCAACCTGCCCTAGAAACCTCTCCGGATGATGGACATCTCTTCTAGGGCAGCCAGAGGTTGCCAGGGATCCAGCCAGCCAGCTGTGTTTTTACATCAGGATCACTGGTGTGTGTGTGTGTGTGTGTGTGTGTGTATGTGAGCATTATATAGCCCCTGGTTTTTGGAAACAACAGGAAAGATCAAAACTAAGACTTCAGCAGATGGAGTTCAGCTGCCGAGGACCTTGAACCTTGAACCAAGATGATGCCCAAACACCTACATCTCTGCTGGCGAGGCTGGGCTGTGGGGCAGCCGCCCTGGAGGTCTGAATCAAAAAGCACGGCAGTCGGAGGTGAGGGTTCAGGAGGACGCCCTGCTCCCCACCACACTGACCTGCAACACCAGGGCGTCGAGCGCCACCCGCTGGATCTCCGGCACCGGGTAAGGGGCGAAGGCATCGTAGTCAGATTCGGCATAGAGGCGGTAACAGACGCCGGGTCCCGTCCGGCCCGCCCGCCCCTTGCGCTGCTCGGCACTGGCTCGGCTGATCCAGAACTCCTGCAGGCGTTGGAGCTTGGCTTTGGGGTCGTAGCTCAGTTCTTTGACCTTCACTGCGTGTGCGCGCACGCATGAGCGGGAGAGAGAGGGAAAGAGAGAGAAGGCTGTGAGGAAAGCACGCTCGAAGGAGAAGTGGCCCCAATCCCCTGGAAGGACACCTGAGAAGAGACACAAACACAAAACAGGAAAGCCACCTGAGACAACCTTGAGAAGGTCAAATCTGCACCTCGGGTGAACCGTCTATTATTAGTTCAGCCCACCCTAACTTTTGCTGCTTTGGATCATGCCCAAGGGAAAGAGAAAACACTGGATGGAATATTTAACTCCCTCTCCATTTCCTCCCCTTTCCTGATCTTTTCCCCGAAACTATTGGGCTCAGCCCCGTTTCTGCTCTGGATCGTCCAAATTTTGCAAGCTCAGAAACCTTACTTTTGTAAAGAAGAGGCTGGGCCATCCCAGAATACTGGTTTCTGCCCCAGCATACAACCTTTGCCCTGGAAAGGTAAACCAGGGAAGTCAGGGACGAGCATGGGCCTCAGGTGGAGAGAAGGCTGCTGGTCCCCAGTCCTTACGCCGGAGCCAGAGGCAGATTGGAATCAAGGAGGAGGCTCACGAGGTGCGGAGAGGCTCTCTGGGGTCGGACAGCCCCAGTGCCTGCCAGTGCTGACCTGAGTCCACGACGAATCGGACGCCATCGATGGTGACCGAGGTCTCAGCGATGTTGGTGGCCACGATGCACTTCCGGACACCCGGGGGAGGCATGTCGAACACCTGCCCGGGAATATATTTATTTATTGACTTATTTAAAATATTTTCACCCTGCCTTTCTACTTAGAAAGGACCCAAGGCAGCTTATATCATTGGAAGATGATATTTAAAGCTAAGAACAAAGAGGACAGGGAACACCTTGCTTTGTTAAAAGACAATATTAAAAGTCCAGTATTAAAAACGATATTAAGAGGAGGTGGGATTTGAAAGCTTCTCAACTCCAAACACCTGGGCGGCCTCTGTACTAGCTTTTCAGGGGCGTTGATTATAAAAGCATTTAAAAAATCTATTGGTTCTTTCTGGAAAAAACTGTCGTATTGCGCCATCAAGCTGGAAACGAGTTACAGTCGCTGTAATAAGGCTGTCAAGGGAAGTGAGATATGTTATGCGTTGTTTTATGAGCTCCACCCCTCACCTCCAGGGAGTTTCCACGGCAGAGTGGGGATTTGAACTCAGGCCCCCTGACTCCTAGCCTGTCACTCTGCCCGCTACACCACACTGGGTAGAGAAACTAAAGGTTAGCTCATGTGAAGGAACCCTAATACTGCTTGCAGAGTAAAGGCCAAGAGGACCCATGTTTTCTGCAGAGGTTCCAAATAAAGGCTGCTCAAGACGGGAGCAGGACGCTCTGCTAGGTGTGCGGTCCCACCCCCAGGTTCTCCTCCGAGACACTGACCCACCTTGTCCTGCTCAGCCACAGAGAGGGTGCTGTGAAGGGGAAGGGCCACCCAGCGCTGGGTGTGTGTGGCGTAGGTCTGCACAGCCTCTAGCACAGCCCCGATCTCGGCCACACCACTGAGAAAAATCAGCAGGTCCCCTCTTTCCTCGGGCGGATACTTGTGATCAATGGCCTGGAGCACACGCAGGTAAGGCCGGGGGTCCAGACGCTCCTTTCGCTCGCCGGCACTATCCTCGGGACGGAGGGGTTCATACATGACCTACACGGAAGAGGGAGTGGGAGTCTTTTAGCCACGACAGCTCGAAATCTTCCTTCCTTCTTTCCATCCATGACGAAGAAAAAAAAAGTCAAGGATCAACAAGGAGTTGACCCTGAAAAGGAATTTGTGGGTTAGCAGAACAAGAAAGATACTCCCACCCAGCAAAATATTCACACAAAATTGGAGCCATTTTTAAATGAAAGCTCATATACCCCTGCAATGATCTCCCTTGGGTAGCCCCTTTGCTCCTTCAACACCAAGTGCATCCCTCAGCCTTCCAGTCTCCCCCCAAAAGGGTCCTCCCCTGTTTCTTAACTCATTCAGCTAATCCGAATGGCTCCAGCAGCGCCAGCTTCTGGGAAGAACAGAATGTTTGGTCTCAAGCCAAGAAATGGAGGCGCAGAGCTCTCCTACCCCCCCAAAGCCGCCACAGCTCAAGACCCGGTCTCGGTTAAGGATCAGCCCCTTCCGTTCAACTGGACGCCACTCCGCCTCACCGTGATGGCAAAGAGCCTCCCCGGGACCTGAACCACAGGGGCACGGCCGAAGTAGTCGGCGAAGAGACGGATGTTGATGGTGGCCGACATGAGGACCAGCTTGAGGTCCGGGCGGGCGGGCAGGAGGCGGCGCAGGACGCCCAGGAGGAAGTCGGCGTGCAAGTGGCGCTCGTGGACCTCGTCGGCGATCAGGACCGAGTAGCCGGGCAGGGTGGGCTCCCGCTGGGCCTGGCGCAGAAGCAGCCCCTCCGTCAGGAAAACGATCCGGGTAGCCGGCGAGCGCGTGCTCTCAAAGCGGATCTGGTAGCCGACCTGCAGGAGGAGGGAAGGGGGGGGAAAGAGATGACCGGTCAGGGTGGAAACTCCGACCGCGCCGGCTCTCTGCTCATGCTCCGGGAGGAGGCTGCTCTTCCCGCCCTCGGCTCACCTGGTCGCCGTACTGCTGCAGGCTCTCGTAGGCCACCCTCTTGGCCAGGGCGATGCAGGCGATCCGGCGGGGCTGGGTGCAGCCCACGTGGGCGTAGCCGGCCGCCAGGAGGTACTGAGGCACCTGGGTGGACTTCCCGCAGCCGGTGTCCCCGGCCACCACCACCACCTGGCTGCTGGCCACTGCCTGGAGCAGCTGGTCCCGGTAGCGAGCCATGGGCAAGGCGGCCCGCTCCTTCTGCAGCCGGGCCAGGCGGGCCAAGCCCTGCTTCTGGCGGAAGTCCAGGAAATGGAGCAGCCCCAGGCGGAAGGCCCGCACCTGTTCGGGGGCCACGCCGGGCACCTCCTGCATCGGCACCCACAGGTTGATGCGGTATCGGGGGTCGTACTCTCGAGGGAGCCCCGCCACCGCCTCCCGGCCGGAATGGGGCTCCCAGGACGGCTCCTGGGGGGCAGCTGCCGCCTTGGGCCCTTTTTCCGCCCGCCGGCTGCGGAAGCGCTGCAGCCGCTCCAAGAAGGCCCAGAACTCCTGCCTCTCCTCGGGCCTTTGGCCCTGCAGGAAGAGGGGCTCCAGGCGAGCCCGGGTGGTGGGGCAGCCCCAGTCCCAGGGCTTCCCGCCAGGCAGGTCCTTCTCCTCCTCCTCTTCTCCTCCTCTTCCTCTTCTCCCCTCCGGTGACATCTCCACGTCGAGGGGGTGGGTGGGTTTAGTGTTCGCTGTCTTCTTCCTTCTCTTCTCGCAGATGCACGCGATGGGGGTGTTTTTGGGGTGCAAAAGGGGCGACCCGGCTCTCCCCAGACTCCGCACCTCCACCAGCAACAGCCGTCGAGGAAAGCCTCCACCTGCAGAAAAGGCAAAGATTTCCAAGATTTAGCAGCAGCCTCGTGGTGGCGGCCCCGAGCCCTCCTTCCAAACCCCCTTTGCTTCCCCATTCGCACGTGCACCCCAACTCTACCTGCAACTTTTGCACGCGTCTCTTCCCCCAACCCGTCTGCGTCCACCAGCCAGGATCGCCGGAGAGTGAGAGCCCCGCCCCCGGCTCCTCCTGCGCAAGCGCTGCTCCCGGGCCCGGGCGGGCGAGCATGCTCAGTATCTCCAGCTGTCCCCGAAGCTCTGCCCTGAGAAAGTGAGGGCTGGCGTGGCACCTAGAGCTACGAAGTTAGAGGAGTAAACAATCGTGCGCGGTCTGAAAAACTCAGGGACGCTTCCAGTTGATAGATAGATAGATAGATAGATAGATAGATAGATAGATAGATAGATAGATAGATAGATAGATAGATAGATAGATAGATAGATGAGAGGGGAGCGCGCGCGCACGCTTCTGCGACTCCTTCTGCTCCCAGCAGCTGCCCCTTCGTCTGTTAATAAAATACAGGTACACAGCACTGGAGCTCTGCCGTTCAAGGTGACTCTTGACTCCTGTGCCGCCCTGTGACTAAGAGAAGACACACTCAAAAACCTTCCTTCTGATGGCCGTGTAGAGCCTCCAGTATCAGAGGCAGGGTACCCCTCAATGGCAGTTGCAAGTGGGAAAGGCAGACCAGGCATGGCTGTTGCATTAGCTTAGGATTTCATTTCCCCCGAGTTAGCATTTCCTTCTCAAATCCAGATCTCAGCCTGTTAATAAAATACAGGTACACAGCACCGGAGCTCTGCCGTTCAAGGTGACTCTTGACTCCTGTGCCGCCCTGTGACTAAGAGAAGACACACTCAAAAACCTTCCTTCTGATGGCCGTGTAGAGCCTCCAGCATCAGAGGCAGAGTACCCCTCAATGGCAGTTGCAAGTGGGAAAGGCAGACCAGGCATGGCTGTCAAGTCCTGCTCCTGAGCTGCCCCTCCCCCTCCCCCGGGGGCAGCTGGTGGACAGTATCTGATCGGGTGCCGTTTCAGGACTCCTATGATGCCCTTCACTTCTGAGACAAATTTTATTGCCGTGTCGTTGTCCTCAAGTTGCTTCTGATTTGCGGGAGCCCTAATACACTTTGTGGGATGTTCAAAGAGTCGTGCCAGCCCCCTCCCCGTGAGCTGCCATGGCTAAGAGGAGACTTGAACCCAGATCTGAATCCTCCCCTCTTTGCACTCCCCCACCCTGGCTCACTTTCTGCCATGAGGGAAGCTTTTGCACAAGGCTGCTCTTCTCAAGACAGAGCTTTTCGACTGAAATGGATGTGTTTAGTTAGTGTGATGCCTTAAATGGGATTTTCTGTTTTCCTGGCATAAAGCTTGCTGCCTTATGTTTTTCCCCCCTGCCATAATCTCCCAAAGAAGTCTGTGCATGCCTCTGCATCAGGACCAGTGACAAGGATATAACCCAGGCTTTCCCATGCAGAAAGAGCTGGAAATGTGAATTGACGTCTTCGATGCTTTGATCTCATGCACAACAAATGTTAAAAAAGAGAAAAAAGGCCAGCCCTTCCTCTTTTCCAGCCTTCTGGATAAAGAGAAACCTAGGCTGAGCTCTGGATTGAGATCGGCAAGACAGCCAGGAGTCAGTTTTTCAGCAGTGTTTTTTTTCCCCTTGCTGTAAACTTCCAAATAAGTCTGTACAGCGGGACCAGTGACAAGGATCTAACCCAGGCTTTCCCATGCAGAAAGAGCTGGAAATGTGAATTGACGTCTTCGATGCTTTGATCTCATGCACAACAAATGTTAAAAAAGAGAAAAAAGGCCAGCCCTTCCTCTTTTCCAGCCTTCTGGATAAAGAGAAACCTAGGCTGAGCTCTGGATTGAGATCGGCAAGACAGCCAGGAGTCAGTTTTTCAGCAGGTTGCTCTCCCATCATGGTGCCATTACAGAAAAGGCCCTGCCACCCACGCTCACCCATTATTTTTCCAGTATAAGGAGGATGTAGAATAAAAAGGGTCAGACATGTTGGAGATTTTGCAACCTGGCATGCTGACCAGAGAAAGTTTGGCTGGCAGGGCCCTTTTTCTGGGCTGGGGTGACTGTCAGTCTATCCAGCACTAACCAATCACTCCTTCTCTGCCTCTGAAATCAAAGAGAGCCCCGCCTCTCTGCTCACTGCCTTTCCTTCCTCTTTTTTAATCTGTTGGATGGAGTGACTCTGCAGCAGTGTTTTGCTGAAAGCAGCCGTGTTTACTGTTTCCATCTGTTCACAATTGAAAATAAAGTAAATGTTTTTATTCTTTCTACTGTTACTGTCTCAGCGCGAGTTATTGAGACTGTCAGTGCCAGTTGATGAGAAAAACGGGGTGGAATGATCTGAAGATATTCTGGTCTGTGAATCCCTGTACATACTTCTGCTGTACCACTAGAGGAATTTAACCAAGAAATTCAAAACTCTGCAACAGGAAGGTGATCCGTGTAGTTGGCAGGGTGGTACGTACAACTATTGTGATGTACATTTGTCTCACCAGCTCCATTTCTTGTTTCGTGGTTGTTTTTCTCTTTTAAACATTAGTAGCATGCCATAAGACTATATATTTAAGAAACAGAACCCATTGTTTAACATTTGTTTTCACTGTAAAAGATGGTGAACGGCTCCCCAGGAGTTTACTTCTTCTGGAAAGAGATCTGGACAACTTAAGCCAATAGCATTATGAGAGAGAATGTTTCTAGGCTTTATTAAGAAATTAAAAACTAATACTGTATCACTAGGCCCAGATGGTATCCATCCAAGAGTTACTAAATAACATACTGTATATATGAAATTGCTGGTCTTTGTACAAAAATATGGAACTTAATGCTAAAGACAAAAATCGTGATCAAACATTTTGGCAGAGTCTCACAAATTATCAACCAGTTTGTTTAAGGCCTGTCCTGGAAAAATTAGTAAAAAGCATTGCTTTAAAAATGTAGCAAGGATGAAACAAAAGCAAGCCTGACTGGAGAAGGAGCTACACAGTTTTTGCAACAGTAGGCAAGTTTCAGTAACATTTTAAGAATTATTTCACAATATTGATGTGCCTGGGGATAAGCTTGTGGTTCTTTTCCAGGGCGGTGATGCTGAAGAATCTACAATTCACACAAAGATTCACTCTGCAACCACACCCAGGTTTCTTGATTTCAGCTGCCCAGTTCTGAATACCACTTGCCAAAGGATAGCCGTTCGGTTCTAGGAAATCAGAGCAAATCAGCATCATCTACACAGACAAATCTCTGGCCCATTTTGAAAACTTTGCAGCCCAGACTCAGTTGAAAAATCCCAGAAAGGAAAGACATGGACCTCGAAGTTAGACCTCAGCCACATCTAAGACAACTCATGGAGCTGCTGGTGAGATAGATGGTCTCTCTGTTTACATTGTAACTGTGATGTTCAATTTTGGATCCCTAAATAGATGTCATTGTCTACAAATCATATGAAGCTGTGTCCCCACCCCCTGGCACCGCTGCCTTTTCTTCTTCTGATTGGTAGGTAAGTGGCCACCCGCTCATCTCTGGGCAGGCATGGAGTGTCCTCCAGGAAGTGGAGGACTACAGAGCAAACTCAGTGTGGAACAGCTGCAGCATTGGAAGATTTGTGGGAATTCAGTCCAGTTCCAGCTTTGTGTAGAAGCAGGCTTTCTTGAGTCCGGCAGGAAGCTGCAAGGGATCGCTGAAACCTTTCACAAGAGGCTGGGCTTCTTCCGGTCCCGTCACAAGGTGGTGCTGGCACTCAGATCCTCAGTGGTGTTGGTGGTCGTGCCGGTAGCTTGGGTACGTCCGTCGGCCAGAGAAGGGACCAGCGTGGCTTCCTCGCTCAGGACGTTGCGCAACATCACCTTCAAAGAGCGCCACATTTTGGTCTTGAAATCCTGGCCCACAATGACGTAGATGATGGGGTTGATGCAGCTGTTGAGGAAAGCCAGGGAGACCACGAGCGGGTCGGCGTTCCTGACGGCCTCGAAGAGGGGGCTCTGTGGGATTTCGCTGGCCAGAATCAGCCCCACAATGTGGTAGGGGGCCCAGCAAACAAAGAAACCCACCACAACCACTAGCACCACTTTCAGAGTCTTCTTGGAGTGCCTGAAACGGCTGCTGTGCACACGGCCGATCACCAGTCCGTAGGAGATGCTGATGACCGCAAGTGGGATCAGAAAGCCAAAGAGGAAGCGCGTGACAGCCACGGCGACCTCCAGGGCGTGGGAGGCATATTGCACCCCACAGGTGGTCCAGTTGTGAGAACCGTAGGATTTGGTGTGCCGCGTGAGGAAGGAAGGTATCGTGAGGAGCAGGGCAGCGGCCCAGGCAACACAGCAAAACATCCAGGTCAGGCGGGCCGAACGGTAGTTCTGGCACCATACAGGCTTGAGCACCAGTGCGCACCGGTCCATGCTGATGAACGTCAGGAGCAGGACGCTGGCAAACATGTTGAGGATGGTGAGGGAAGGCAAGAGCTTACAGGCAAAGTTGCCCAGGTACCACCGGTGGTGGCAGGCCAGGGGTATGGCCAAGAACGGCAGCACCAGGCAGCAGAGAAGGTCAGCCACCGAGAGGTTGAGGAACCAGACCGTGTTCACCGTGGGCTTCATCTGGAAGCCCACCACCCAGATGACCGCCCCGTTCCCCAGCGTGCCCACCAGGAACACAAGGGCATAGACCACCAGCGCTACACAAGTGATCGGATGCAGGCGCTCAGGCAGCTCCGTCATCGGAGTGGGGTTATAATCCGTATAATTGAAATCGTCATTGAAGCCACTAAAACCACCTGTCAGGTCTTCATCCATGGCCGAGATGCGAGAGTGGAGGTCCTGCCAAGGAAAACAGAGAAGAGGATCAGCAACCAGGTTTTACAACCCTTGGTGTTTAGATGATTCAGTTTGTGTCCAGCTTGGGGTCAGAGATGAGGCTTATCCATACATAGAATCATAAAACGGTCAAGTTGGAAGTGGCCTATTGGGAGGCCACCAAGTCCATATAGATGAGCTCAGCATATTCAACAAGAACACATTCAGTGTGTGTGTTTTTTATTTTTATTCTTCATTGTCTTTGTTAAAAATTAATTTTAAAAAATGAAAACCCATATCTCTATTTAGCAGGAGAGCAAATGGAAAATGGAGCAGGCATAGGAACACATATTATTCACTGATGTCCTTAGACAAGAGGATACCACCCTTTGGAAGGCTTCATTTATTATGAAATGTGGCAACACAAAGTGATTTGGCAGGCTAGAATCAGAAGACCAAGCAGAAGCAAGCAGCTGAGTTGGGTCTCTTCAGGAAATGTGCCCCAGGAGCATCTCAAAAACCCAGTGAGTTCTTCCTGTTGAACCTCTTCCTGCAAAATGTACCACCCCCCTGAACGAAATGACTGTAGGTTCACAGTGGACAGGAGTGCACTATTCCTCCACCCTTCACTAGGATCCTGGCTCTCTGTTGCAAATGTTGGGACAGGAAATACAAGGGCAGCCTTCCCTGCCTTCTGCCTCATACTCCCTTCTTGTTTGAACCTCAGAATTCTCCCAAACCTGGCAGCGGAGACTTCCTTGGGCCAGGAGGAGAGGAAAGGCAAGCAGGGAGAGGAGCATCCTATGCACTTCTTTGTGGAGTTCATCAACTACATTTGCATGCTAGCTTCCATAAGGGGCTTTCACCCTTTCTTTGCCTGCAAGGGGCTGGCTGGATAGGTAAAGGTAAAGGTTCCTCTTGACAATTTTTGTCCAGTCGTGTCCGACTCTAGGGCGTGGTGCTCATCCCCGTTTCCAAGCCATAGAGCCAGCGTTTGTCCGAAGACAATCTTTCCGTGGTCACATGGCCAGTGTGATTTAGAACCTTCCCTGCCTTCTGCCTCATACTTCCTTCTTGGTTGAACCCCAGAATTCTCCCAAACCTGGCTGCGGAGACTTCCTTGGCCCAGGAGGAAAGGCAAGCAGGGAGAGGAGCATCCTACACACTTCTTTGTGGTGTTCATCAACTACATTTGCATGCCAGGTTCCATAAGGGGCTTTCGCCCTTTCTTTGCCTGCAAGGGGCTGGTTGGATAGCTCAGTGAATAAGGCATCTGGCTGCGGACCAGTTCGATTCCCCGCTGGGGAGTAGAGCCAGCCTGGGTTTAGACCACAGCGCCACCATGTCCCTGGCTGGATAGCTCAGTGAATAAGTCATCTGGCTGCGGACCCAAAGGTTGAGAGTTTGATTCCCCGCTGGGGAGTAGAGCCAGCCTGGGTGGGCCTTGGGCAAGCTGCACACAGCCCCAGGCACCCCTAGAAGAAGGGAAGGGACGACCTCTGAAGACTCTCTATCTAGAAGACCCTGGAAAGGGTTGCTGGAAGTCGGAATGGATTTGAAGTCACATGACTATGGTTGTAGTTCATCGCAACATGGAATTCTCCCCCAAACTGAGGAATGTGCGCTGAACCTACAGATTTGACAGATGCTATAACGTCTGACGGAAATGGTGTCACAACTGGAATGCTTCTCAACTTCCTCCCTGCGTTCGTCCCTCTTCCCCTCTTCTTTGCTTGTGCTGATCGAGGGCTTCTGCTTTTTTTTTGTAGCCTTCTTAGACTGTTCTTGGCCACACACTGTTCCCCCCCCCCCCAAAAAAAATAAAAATGCTTACACAGTTTGGTTCTTCCTGGGGAAATCTCTGGGGAAACGGGCCTGGGCTGGCCCTCAAAGCAGTTATGTTGCTTGAAGAAGCAACTCTCTCTCGCACAAGTTGTTGGGACTTAGGAAGTCCGGGTTCAGATTCCCACTCAGCCTTGGAAACCCCCAGGAAGATGGCAACAGTGGACCCACCCTGATTAAAAAAAAATAAGCCAAACACTTTATTAGGCTTCCTGTAAGCCGGAAGTGCTTTGATAGCGCAGACCAAGAGAAGTCCAGAAAAAGGGGGCGGATAAGGGAGGCTCACCTAGTTGAGGTGTCTCCACCCACAGGGGAAACTCACTCTGGGTTCAAAAGGAGAAGGCCGGGGGGGGGAGGCTGCCTTGATTCCTCCCTGTGGTATCTGTAAGAGAATGGCCCCTTCTGCCCACCATGGGTGGACCATGAGGAGGGCTCAAGCACTAAGAGTTTGTGACCTGCAAGAAGCTGAACGGAGGCTCCTCTTTTTTCTCTCACACACAGGCACCCCAGTCCTGTGCGCGCTTCCCAACCTGCACTTTTCTGTATCGAAAAAGGAAGCCAAACCACGGGATCAAGACAGGAAGAGTGGAAGAAGTCCTCGGGGCTCACCAGAGGGGCTTGCCACAGACGCCTCAAAAGCCAAGGACTACAGGCTGCCTCCTAGCTTGGACCTAGTTTGACGGGAGCAGCAGTTTTTCCCATGCGTGATGATGGAGACAGTTACCAGGAGCCACTTCAAAGTCTGCCTGAAGAGGAAAGTCTTTTCCTGATGACAGGAGGCGGACAGGGAGAGGGGCCAAGCTGGCTTCTCAGGCCAGGGGACTCCAAAGCCTGGGAGCCACCACCGAGAAGGAACTCCAAAGCCTGGGAGCCACCACCGAAAAGGCCCCCGTCTCATGTCCTCATCAAGCAAGCTCGGGAAGGGGGCAGAACTGAGAGAAGGGCCTCCCCAGAAGGTCTTCAAAGGCTGAGAAGGCTCCTATGGGGTGATACGATCCTGCCAATAGCCTGGACCCTCAAGCCATAGAGGGCTTTATAGGTAAGACCCAGCACAGAACCAGACTGGCAACCCAGTGAAGCTGTTGGGATAACAAGGGAGTGACACCAGTGCTGGTCGGCAGTCTGGAGGCAGCTGAAGTTTCTGAACACTCTTCAAAGGCAGCCCCACGAAGAGCAAGTTGCGGCAGTCCGGACAAGAGGTTGCTAAGGCATGCGGCACCAAGGGGCCAAACAGGGCACCCCAAGGAACGGGTGCCGCCGGGGCACCCGTTTTAACTGAGCAAAGGCACTCCGCTGAGACTTGTGTGCCCAAGCTTTCCTTTTCGGAAATCGCCCTAGAAATTCCTCCTGAAGGTCTCGTGACTCTAGAAGTGTGGTGTGGTGGACAGAAGACTTGTGAGGCCTGAGTTCAAATCCCCACTCAACCATGGTAACTCAAACCAGGGTGTCTGGCAGTAGCAAAAATCCGCTCCTTACGTGCCCTGATAACCCTATCGGCACCACCTGAAGCCACAAATCGCTCCAACCCCCCCCCCC